GTAAGAAGAAACTGTGGTTCCCCATCTAGGGATAAATCACATTCACATTCTAATTATTTCTTTATGCAAGGATGACCTTATCTTTATCCAGAAAAATAATAAAAGTTGATTGAAATTTGAAATAAATGGTTGACCTGGGGAAGCTCAAATTAATATAAATATATGTCTCTGGCTAGATGATGCAGCTTAAAAATCACATCAAAATTATCTATTTATAAAAAAATGGCCTTTTCTGTATTATGATGTATTTAAATTCCAGTTTTTGATGTTTACATTTCTGTATTTATCCTCCCATTATTATAAAATACATGCTCGACTTCCTCAGATTTCTTAAACATAATTCATCTTGTAAAAAAAGCACACCATAGGAAATTTTTGCCTCAGAGTTATACGTTTGGAGAAATAACACACTAAGCATAAGCAGTTTCCTTAGAGCTTATAAGCTCTAAGTGGTAAGTGGAAATAATTTAAAAATCGTGATGATAATGAAAGACCACTAGTGTGCACAGCATTGTTAATCTGTAGTTTTGAATTATTACTGTACATTTTGTAGGTTCTCCAACTTTTTCTACTGTTGATTGCATTCCAGTGCAAGTACTCATATGAAAAATGATACAGTGACTCTCCTGAGGAGGCTGTGATCTGTATACCTGTGCTATTACTAGTGTGTTTTCAGGTTCAATTTATTAATGTGATCTTTTATCCATAAAATTGCTGTTAGATCAAACATATTACTACATAGGTAGTGCACTTCAAAATCACTGTAAGAAGTAGTTTGATTTTCCGAAAAAAAAAGAGCCAGTTTCTACAAGAACATGTCACCACCAAAAACAAAGACACATGGTTGGCACATGTTTTGTTGGATATTTGAGGATAGGTATGTGTAAGAAAAAAATATGTAAAGTGCCATAGAAACAGATGCAGAGAAGACACAGAAACCCATACACAGGCCTGAGCAATCGCTGGGAATGTAGCTGTAAGAAAAGCAGAGCAAGAGAGATTCAAGATGACTATCAACCAAAAAGGAGCTGAGACTTTGAGTGAAACATTCATATGGTTTCAGAGGAAAAGCATGTACACACAATCTTTATAGAGTGCATCAAAACATCTGACGCCGCCTATTTTTTCTGACCAGGGACATTGCACTAACCAAGTCAAATTAAGTAAGAACACAGCGCCACTTTTAAAGACAGTTGCCTTCTAACTAGATCCATAAATTACAGTAACCTGGCAGCATTCAAGATTTGCATTTCCCTGTCAGGAAAATATGTGCATACACACCACAAAATACTTTATATACTTTTATTCACTACACTTTTTCCTACATTTGTTTATTACTTTCTTATCTTCCATTGCTGCTTCCCCTCATTTCCAGACTTAAGAAAGTCTTCTGTTTATTCCAGGCTACACTAGTGATTACTCTCCTCTGGTTAAAGTGCTTTTTTCCTCCTGCATTTCCTTAGGCAATGTTTATCCTTTTTCTGCCATTAGTCTGTGTTTTCCCTAATGTTTTGGATTGTTTCCTTCTTACATGATTCCAAAGGTTAGAGGTAGCATACAAAAGCCTTTACTTTCTTTATTTTCCTATTTTTACTTTTCTTCATTGACAAAATAATCCATGATGTGAATCTTTGTCTGCTTCATTTAAGAAATCACCGGCTTAAAAACAGGATGTGTCTATAAAAAATGATCTTTCTGGGGGGTTTTTTTGTTGGTTTTTTTTTTTATAAATCATGTTTATAGAATAGCCAAATGCCCAGAGAGGCAAAAGAAGAATGCACTATGAGTAGAAAGTGAATGAAAAACTGACTTTGGTGGGTATGCCATTTTAATACCGTAGAAAAGGAATTTGTGATTGAATAATGTTTGGATAAAAAGTTCAGTTAAATAAGGGATAATCTCCTGGTAAAGAGATTATTTGCAAAAGCCATGCTATATATTTCTGTTTAAATTATAGGATAGCACAAAAAGTACTTACATGAAAACTGTCACAAAAATTGTTATATATGCAAACCTGAAAATATTATATTTCCTTTTTAAAATTTTTTTCACACAAAGTTTCATTTAGACTAGTCGATGCAATTTTTAAAAATTATTATTTAAAAAATATATCTTCTGGTGTGTTGATGATTGTCTGTGAACAACTTTGCATATTGCTAAACTTGGATGTTGCCTTATAATCTTCAGAAGTACTAAAGCTGACTGTCCAGCCTAGGCGCATGCCAAGTAGAGATGTTACCCATATCTGAGCTTTCCTTAAGAATTAAATTTCATGAATATGTAAAAAATTAGTGATAGACATTTAGGGAGTTTGTTTTGGTTTTCAAAACAAGATTTATAAAGGTAAATGCAGTTTTTTCTAGTCTATCTGAATTTTGAATGGAAAATATATTTTATTTTACAGTTAGTCATGATATCCTTATCATCTCCTTATTTTTTATATCTTCTCATAAATATCATATAGAACTTGAAAAGTGAGAAAAAATCCTTAATATTCCTTTATTGTTGATGATTAACTCAAAAATATAGCATGGCCTATGGGGGAAGGAGTGCCAGTCACTTCATACATATGATAGCCTGGCTGTGAGACTTTGTTTCATTACGATGGACATTGTGTTAGACATAATTCCTGCCACCTTCATGGTGTTATCTAGTATAAAACTATGTAACATTCAAGATCTACCAAACTGATTAACTTTAGCAGTTACACCTTCTTCCTCCTCTCACTCCTTTAATAATCTTCCCTCCCAACAATAAAATTGTGTATATTTAAATGAAGATTTTCTTACCAGGCCTCTACCAGCTTTACCCTCTTCTAAAAGCAGTTCAGAGATGTCTATATGAGACTTCTTTATGGCTGGTGTTCTTCACATGTAATAGATAAAATTTGTCCAGTTCCCAAAAATTTCATTCAAAATGCTATTTACTGCTGTCAAAATGCCTGAAATAGAAAATTTCACATGTAATTTCAGGGAAGTTATAGAGGTGTCATAACCTGGCTATAGGAATACAACTACATGTTAAGGTAGCTGTAGAGTAATATTTAATTATTGTCCCAAAGAATATTGGGGGGGGTCCCCATCTGCAGAAATTTAAAGGATAAGCTCTTAGAACTCTCTATGTGCCAAGCAAAAATTTACAGTACTATTAATCCAATAAGTTTTCTCCAGCATATATTTCCCTTTGATTGCAAAGACGTATTGCAACTTTTAAATTAAATACTATTTTTGGTAATGTAGAGCTCAGAAAAGGTTCTGGATTGCTAGTCTAGTGCACTTAGATCCTTATTTAGTCACAGAAAAAAATCCAGTGCAGAAATAATGATTAAAGCACACTTCCTAGTGCTGTTTCATTGTTGCACCCCAGAGGGACCCAAGTTATAAAGTAGTTTAATCTCTCATACATTTCTCTGAAATTTGTGGATTCGCCAGCTATACTACGCTACAATATTACTGAAACAATACTGCTCAGCTGGTACTGAAGAATAATTAGGCAGACAAGAAATATTCTTATAAATAATACAGAAGAAAATACGTTACAAAAATTAACTTGGCTTCTCAAAGACAATGCCCCTCCTATTCCCTCATTGTAAGCTCTAAATTTGTTAATATTGTGTGGTTTTGAGCTGCTTTTAAGTTTCAGAGTTTCTCAAAGGAAGTGGGCTTGGCATTTTATAGTTGCCTGGGAAGCACTGCCCATGCTTATGATTCCACAGAAATATTTTTAGTATGATGGAAAAGTCTCTATCATTAATAGCTGCTCTTAAACCAGTTCCTTCATAAGACTGGAAGCACGCTCAGTTTCCTCCTGTCAAGGCGCAGAGCTAAGAACCCAGTTCCTCGCTTTCTTAATTCTTACCATTATAAGGAAAAAAAAAAAAAAAAAAAAAAAAGGCCCGTTTTTGGTTTGTTTTTTTCTTTTTTTTTTTTTTCCCCCTGTACTGACATTAAATAGACACTACAGAACACAGACAACATCTCTAAGACACTCCGAAACTGCTCACTGGTGTGAGCAGATGTCTGAGGACGCCTTCCGCCTGTCCCGAACCGCCTGGGGCGGATCTCAACCCCGGCTCTCCAACACCTCCTGTGAATTCCGGCCGAGTTACTCGCGTTTATGCTCAGGACTCACAAACCTGTTTGTCACACCTCTTCCACTGGGCTCGGCGCGACCGGTTCTATCATTATTTGAACTAAAGAAAGCCACTGACCCCCTGACCAAGCAGCACCCGGGCTGCCCCGGCCGCTTCCCGCGCCTTTGTCACCTCAGAATCCTCCTGCCGTCACCACTACCCTGCCCTCCCTTCCTCCTCTCCTCCCAGTCCCGCTTAGGCAAACAAGGCTTGTTACAAGCATCTAGCGAAGAAGAAACCTCTAGGGATGCTGAAAGGAGAAATTAAAGTGTATCTAAACTCCTAAAGCGCCCTGCGAGCCCCAAACACGCTACCAGGGTGCCGCCTCGCCTCCTCCCTCAGACCGGGCTGAGTGCAATTTGCCCACGCAGGAGAAAGGACAGAGGTGCCCTCAGGATTTTACCTTAGGTTCACCTGTTTTAACTCACAGACCTGCTTCTCATGCTTTATAACGCCAGTTTATAGCTTTTTTTCTAGTCTTCACATCATCTGATAGAGAATAATTAGCAATGTGTAAGTGGGTTCCCCCTCTCGAAGTAATGGAACAGTCCACCGGGTTCCAGGCGCCGGGGCTCCGGCGTTTAACCCCTTTCCTGCCGATGCCAAAGAATCTGCCTGACGGAGGCGCGGTGGGATCCTGCCTCGGGGCCTGCTGCGCTGGAGCACCGCGGGCAGGTAAGAGTAGTCGGTCTGCAGCGAGGCAGCGTTTGTTTGTTTGTTTGCTGCTTTGTTTTATGATTCCCGGCGGAGAATTTTGTAGATCCAGTATAGACGGCACCTAGCTGTCCGCCAGGCGAGCAATCTCCTCGTCCCTGCAGACGGAGCGTTGTCCTTGCTCATCCGGAGCGGCTGCTTTCCTCAGGTGGGCTCCGTCATGTACGGAAAATCACGCTGTGAAAAGCAAGCGCCCATAAAGGAGTCGGAGGAGTCCTGCAGCTTTACTCACGTAATGGGACAGAGTCCACTGGGGCACACGCCCACGGTGTTTTCTCTCTCGAGGTTTTGGAGGATGCAGCCTCCTCTTACCCTTTTATCCTAAACTCCAGACCGCGCGTTGCCCTCTTCCTTTCCCCACTGGCTGAGCTACGAAGAAAGTACAGCCTTTCCGAACCGCCCAACACATATCCCCACTTGAACCTGTCATTTTGTCCCAAAGTTGAGGAGTTGAGGCTTGTGCAGACCCTTGCCTTTTTCAGGAGTCAGGCTGTCTGGGCTCTGTAACAAACTTGCGGCTTGAAGTCAGTGGAGATACTAAGACCCATTTCAAAGACGTTAACACCCATTCCTTCACCCATAGAATTGTTTGTAAAGACATTAGCGCACATCTTTCCCACCAGCCACCTCTCAGAAACTCTTCAGCAGTAACTGGAGACATGGAGGTGTCCTGACCCTGAGAGCTGGAATCCCAACCTGCTTTTCCCAATTTAAGCACTTAAATGTCTAAGGTAAGATGTTTTTTGACATACACTCTTTCCAAATGCAGCTGCTGAGGGAGTAAAGGAAAACTGTAAGTTTTGTACTTGCTTTTTAAAATAATGTAATGCAAAGGGTCATTTAGCTGAAATTTCTGTGTTTTGTCTTTTTTTTTTTTCTTTTTCTTCACTATTCCTTGTTTCTCTGTTCCTGCTTCTCCATAACTTTAAGTGGCAATTCAATGCCTCAAAAAGTTTTTGTTAAAATAAAAACATGTAAAAAGCCCCAACATCTTCTCAATTCTTAGTCTCTGCAGTCTATTGCCATATTAAATACTAGAAACTCCATTTCCCTTCCTCTCATTATCTCCTAGGGTCACAATACTGGATCCCTGTGGTGTATACACTGATGTTAATGCCTGCAATTAAATGTTTTCCTTTCTGTGTCTTCCATCTTTGGAAAAAATTTCCAAAAAATATTCTTTTTTCAGAACCATGATTTTTCTTTCCTTTCTCTTTTATTCTCTGATTCTCGCAGGTTAATGGTTTGAACCATACTGAACTGTATGGCAAGAGCCATTTACATTTTTAGGAAGAAAGGAAGGAATATAGCTTAGAGTAAAAGCAGGAGGAAATTGGTAATTTTATTCCAGTTTATTAAAGTTAATCCAAGTTATTAATTATATGGCCTGTGTTGGTAGCAAGGCACATGTGGAAGGAGTTCTGGCAGGGAAACTTCTGCAAGTTGCACGAGTGCACGAGAACATTTTCTAGAAGCCTCCCAAGTGATATGAATGAATCCACAAATTTGAATTCCTTGTCTGCTTAAGCAAAGCAAGGTAAGTTACTTGTGCTGGTATCTGACAAATTGTGTATATTGATGTCATATTTTCCTTTAACATACTAGACATTGGAATATTTAAATTCATTGCAGCTGCATAACTTCTTGTCTGAAAAGTGTTTTACACTTTCAGTTTATGTTTCAACATCAGGCCTGGCTATCTAATCTAGAAAGCACACATGGTGTATGACTGCAAACACGGTTTTCAAAAGTGAAAGGAGAAGGAAAACTCATTTTGCAAAATAACAACAAGTCAGTTGATCAGTGGGCATAAAAATTTAGATTAAGCAGTTAGTGGGCAATCCGTCACTTGAAGTTCAGTCAGGAATCTGCTCTCACACTCATAGAGCTCGGCTTTGTTATGGGCAGAAGAGCTCTTCCCCACTAGATGGTGATACAGGAGCAGCTCTGGCTTCCTTGTTTTTAGGGTAGCAGGTTCACCTCCTGCGGGTTCACATTCCCACTCGTGAATACTCTCTTGAAAGTACTTTCAAACAAACTTCCTCCTTGTTTTGTAAAAGCGAAGACTCTGGAAAGATTTTAAAGAATGTTGAACTTTACAAAGAAAGAGGAAGTGTTCAAGTCACACAATGAATGTGCAAAACTTATTAGGACACTTTGGAGGAATATCTGTTTCATAAATTTGACATTCTAAATGGTGTGAGTTAGATAGTCTTTTATCTAACTCAAAAAGAATGGTTTAATTCAGCACACAGCAATCTATCAATCCATATGGCATGAATGATTCTATGGAAGATCTTAGTTATATCTGAGGGATATCTGTCAAACTGTTTCTCATTTGTAAAGACAGCAGCAAAAGTTGAAGTTGTGGATTACAAACACAGGTAGCTGTATCAAAAATACATGATATAAACTTTAGACAACCGAATAGTAAGGGCTATGGGAAAATAATGGTGCATATGAAATGTAACTGGTAGCAGTTAAAAGCCTCACAATTCTTTTTCTGTGAAACTTAGAGTTTTTTAAAATAAGTGGGTAGAATTGTCCTCAAATGAGCAATTTTATAAATGTGGACCAGTTGCAAAATAATTCCTCCACAGTTCTTGCTCCCCAGTGGTTTCAATGCTTCTTTCTCTGATTCTCGGCATGTTATCTCAGTGTTTACTCTCCAGGCCTGATTCTTCTAAAAAGGTGTGGGTTATCTGAGATGCAAACTGCAACCATGAAAGTATAGCAAACGAAAAATAGGAACATTGAACAATAAAGTTAATTTGGAAAGCCTTTGTTTGTTAATCATTAGTGAGAAGCTAAGAAATTGCTTAGAGTAGTTTAGCAAATCAAAAAATAACTTCACTCCCTACACTGAAAAATTTAAATTTGCCATTGCAGTTTTCCTTGTCAGCGTCCAGTTTTAATTTCTGAAATACTGCGTTGTGAAAACACCCTGGTACAAGTTTTTGCTATTAGAAATAAGCAGAAAGTAAGACATCGTAGGAAATAAGAGATTTTCCGCTATGATTTTTTTGTTGTCAATACGATTGCTAATATTTGATACCAAAACACCTTGGCTGAACCATACCTTTTCCTTCTGACCGTCTTGACAGACACCTTGATGTTGTCACTCATCTTGTCTTACTGTATCTCTTGTGATAGTTCAAATGTTCTTTTCACAACATTGATAATTAGGTCATCTTTAAAGGTAGTAAAAAGTATTTTTCCTGAGAAATCTGTGATCATTTTTCTCTGCTGTTATTGCCCTGAGTAGGATCAGATGACATAGTGGTAATACGTCCTCCCTGTCCTGTAGCTTCCACTGCTAGAAACACAAATAGAATTGCATTGGTGGATGAAAAATAAACAAATAGCACAAAAATCACTTGGAGATATTTCATTGAGGTTGTAGCAGGTATTTTCTGGAATTTCTACATATAATTTAATTTTTCCTCTCAGCTTGAGTGATACAAGTGCTTGGATATAAGCTATCACAAAATTATTGTGTCTACCTTTTTACTCTGGGAATATATCTATTTTAACACATTTTTTCTAATGTTCTACCTGATTCTCATAATAATTTCTGCTCCTCACCCAGTTTCTATCTTTATTTTTATTGATTACCATACTGTTGCATTTGAGAAAGAATAATTGAGAAGACATCTAGACACATCCATGAAAACCAGAAAAAAATAATGTTTCAGAGTTCTCTTTCTGAATTAAATGATTTTTGGAACCACAGTCTTAGACATCAGATTTCCAAATAAAAAAATGGGAAGATTTAGCAAAGTAAAATAAAAGGAGCATAAACCGTAGAGCCAGTAGGTTAAAGAAATAGCAAAGCAACAGCATTAAAAGAGTAGTTAGTATAGAAAGTTATTAGTGTTTAGCAAATAAATGATTTTTGCACCTTTTAATTATCACTATTTATTTATTTATCACCTTCTGCCAGATTTGTTTGTGGCAGGAGTTAACTGATATTTGAAAATATTTTTAATGAAATTTAAGAAATTGTACAGAGCATTCTGTGTATTAAGAATTGGATCCATGAAGATTACCTGTAATAGAAAATTGAAGAGTGGTCTAGAGAGGTCCGAGAGATTTGTGAAAAATTATTTGACTCTAGAAAGCCAAGTTCATGCTTCCCTCTTTACTAGTATTTATCTATATGTCCATTATTTGCATGTTTCAGTATCATTTTTACCATTTTCCTGCAGTGAACATCAGACTTTCTAGGCTGTAGTTCCAGGTATACTGGGAAAAATTTTATAATGGTAATTTTATTTCATGATAGTTCTGTTGTTATACAGGAGGTACAGGAGTTTCACAGCTGAGAAAAAGAAAAATTATTTAGAATTTTATCTTGAAATAAACAGGTAATATCAATTCAAGTAAAGTGACAAAAGTAATGACTTTATGCAAAATTTGTACAGAAAGGCGCTGAGGAGCAAGACTTAGTGAAAGGCATTTAGAATGTAATTTACTAATCTTGGTGATATGTAGAATTGTTGTTACGTATTATAATAAATAAGAATACTGTGACTCAGGACTAAAATCTAGTTTATGGTCTTCTGTAATATGATTTGAGTCCCCATCTTTAAGATGGGCGAATGTGCATTGCACTTTTAAAATGTATTGTTACAAATTCCATAATTAAAATTAATTAATTCTTCTCATTTAGTGTCTATTCTGTTTTATATCTAGCTATCTGGACAAATGAATTAACCTCCCTATCATATTTCCCTCTTAAGTAGACTCATTACATGCAATTGCACACATAATTTTCTTAATCAGTTAACAGAATCTGATAATCTTCTTATTATATTGTGTCCTCAGTGATAAACACACATATTGTTTATTTCCATTTTGAAACCCAAACAGTATTTACTAGTACTTTTGGTTAGCCTTGAAAAGTAAGTTTTTCCATTTAAAAAAAAGAAATAGATTAGAATGAAGATAGAGCTTTCAGTAAAATAACTGTGTTGTACTTTCACTGTGATATTGCTGAACTGACCACTGAGAAAGGGAAATACCTTCTTTCAGACCCAGTCACTGTTACCTGTTGAACAGTGTCGATGCAAAGCTTGAAATTTTTTTTCCACCAGCATTTTGACTTGGGCAATTTCAACCACTTGGAAGCTATATAATGTGAGATTCCTAGTTAGAAAGCTTCAGCTCTGTTGAATGAGAGCTATATTCACACTAGAGTAGTTCAGTCCCCTGTCTCATTTTCAACCCCTTCCAGTGCTTTAACAGAAGCTTCCCTTCTGTCTATTCAATGCTTCTTGCTGCTGTTGGCACTGCCAACTTGTCTGCCTTAACTCCAGGGATCCAGCTCCCAGATAATCCCAGCTACTTTCCAGTTATCTACTCTGAGGTGTTGAGTCTGTTTTCTAAGCCTTACTCTTGATTGTTAAAAAAACTGCTGTGTTTGTATGAAAGAGAATATAAATGTTGTTGTTTATAATACTTGCTTGTTAGTACAGAATGCCAGTCTCTATTGACAACGAGTTAGAAAACAATCCCTTTACCCTAAATAGCTTACAGTTTAAATAAACAGCCAAGAGAGGAAGGACTGAATGGGAAATAATGGAAGAGTAGAATAGAATAAGTGAACAGCTGAGTTTAATGTTTTTTGTTATGCTATTTGTCCTTTATTTTTTTGTATCTTACTTCTCCTTGAAATGGAGAGTATTTTGCTTTCCTACTATTTTTTGAACTGGTGAGAGTATCTGATTTCCCTGGGACTTTAAGCTCCTCATACAGACATTAAAGAAAAAAAAAATATCTAAGTAAATACATTTAACAAGTTATTATTTTGATTTTGGAGAAAAAATCTATACATGTTAGTAGACCAATCTTATTTCTGCAGATTGTTCTAGTGCGCCAGCAGTTACTTTACTATTCACTATTTTTTCAAAGGTACAAAATCTTCCAAATAAACTATTTTAGGATTCACATGCACTTTTAAATTGTATCAGTTTATGCTAATACAATTTAGAGCAGATTCATTCTGATAATAGATAGTTTCACAGAAAAGGATGAAAACAGTTTACAGTTGTCTTTAAGCATCATTTAGGGCCTGTACTGTGCCCGAAATGGGTAAGACTGCAAATACAAGGTCCATGGCCCAGACATACCCAGATGAGTTTCTATGTAGGGTGGTTTTCATACCTAGACTCTTAGGTAATCATATAAAAATGGTGAGGAAAACTTCCCACAGCAAAGTCTCAAGGAAGGTTAGTGGTGCAAATAATGCTTTCTCTCTTGCAAAGATAAATCACTCAGTGGGCGAAATATAACTTCAGCTCGGGTAAAAAAGTTTAATTTGCATATTGCATGTCTGCAGTCATGAACAGCCCTCAGAATAAGAAAGAAAAATGTGTTATGTCTTTTACTCAGGCAAAAGCCTATTTCAAAATTGTACACCTTAGTAGCTACTATAGACAATGTGATTTCTCTCTATCTGATAAACAAAAGAGCCTAATAAATAATAACATACTGCTTTATTTTCTGTTTCACTACCTAAGTATGTATTCTGCTAGGGAATTTTGTGGCTTGATATTTTCAGAGAAAACTCTTGCTCATAGTTCTGCAACTTTATAAGTTTTCTAAGTTTCCTTATTCTGATTTTGAGTAGCTATTGCATCAGACATTACAGATATACTGTGCTGTTATTGCCAAATCATATTATTTATCTCCTAAAATGCTCACAAATGATTAATTGAACAAGACATAAAAATAAATACAATAAAATACACAACACATTAGAATAATATTCAAATTAAGGTGCACTTTACAGAAAATACACATTTTAAGTTATAGTATTTAAATGTCTTACTTAGGAATTATATGGATCCTGAGAAAAGAACAATGGACTTAAAAGGTTTTCTTGCTCAGGTGTATATGATCTTGAGGAAAATTTAATGAAAATGTAAGTAAACCTTTATAATTGTACCAGATATCCATTATTTTTTTTCTAGTATAATTTAGAAGTACAGGTATATAAACCAATTAAAAATATTCTTTCCTAAGACACTAACAATACAATAATATAAGTGCACTTTGACACTGGGATAAGTATTTGGTGATAGAGTAATAATTATATTAACACAGCTGGACAACTCAGCATTATTATGCTGCTGAAAAATTTTGCACCTAAAATTTGCATCAAATACTTTCTAATTTTAGAAAAGTTCTATTACCCTTAATATTATTATTTTATAATATGGATTATTTGTTTCAGTGCTATGAATTCACTGGGTTTAAAAACCATGCTGTCATACTACATTGTTGGGAAACCCCATTAGATATACATCCATTTGTGAAGTGAGAACAAAAACAAATTAAGCAGATAAAAATAATCTGGCCTAACAGTAGTTAAGTCTTATTCAAATATGAGTATAGAATATGAAACCTTATTAGGAATCACAGGCAAAGAAGAGGAACAAGATATTATTGCATACATTGAGGCACAGAAGTTCCCTCTGAGTGGCAGAATCTGTAAAGTCCATAGTGGTGATAAAAGAGAAAAATCAAAAAGGTGCTTTTGTGGTCAGTCAGAATGAAACATTAGGCAAAGGTTACAAGGCAGATGAAATTTCAAACTAGGCAGAACTTTGGTAGAAGTACAGCATATATCAATATGCCAAATATTAACAAGGCCTTGGAATGTGTTGACCACATTTGTTATTTAAACCTTAAGAAGGAAAACAAGGAGAAATGCGTCAGACATTGAAACAGTCAGTATAGAGTTCTGGGAGAATTTGAAGATTAAAAGCAACATGATGATTGTGGTAATGAAAGTACAGAACTCATTATTTCTAGGATGAAAACAAAAATACCATTAGTAAAAAAAATCCCACAGTAAAGGATCATAATGGAAAAAAAATCTCAGGGTGCCAGCAGATCCTTAGAAAAAATACTAACAACATCAAAGACAGAAATATTTCAAAGTGAAGAAGCTTGGAATAATGAACCAAAAAACATAGGACAGCAAATGACAGATTTGCAAAGAAGGATGAGAGAGTATTAGTAGCTATCCTGAATATCTTCAGAAGTATCCTACTACAATTCAATAATCAAGCACAATGTTTAGATGTTTAAATAAAAGTATCTTGAGTAAGATATATGAAGTAGTATGTCCACTGTGTTTGAAACTGAAAAAGACTAAAATGGAGTGGGGTTTTTTTCAGTTTTGATGAACTGAATCATTAAAGTTTGGACAACTTGAGAATCAACAGAGAAAAATATGCTGCAAAACATGATACAGAAAGAGCAAGCTGTTGGAAAACATGATAACTTGAACAAAATGAACTTGACAAAAATATGAATGAACAAAATATTCTGGCTGTACAACCAAAGGTGGGATGGCTAGTATTCATATATGTAAAGCGTATCTGAAAATGGGAAGGCAAACACAAGTGTTTGTTCTGAGCCAAAAATCAGAGCTCAGATTGCAGGAAGAAAGATTTATGTTAAGCATTAGAGGAAAAAAACAGAAAAGCAAAGCCAGTATTTTCACAGTTTAATAATTTAAATACTGAAGTAGATGGCCTGGATAGATTTTAGTATCTTTATCACTGAAGATTTAAGGACAGGTACTGTGAACAGTTTAGATCTTGTCTTTGGGCAAGAGAATGAACTAAATAAATTTCCTTTCAATTATTTCTGATTCTTATATTTTATATCTCCTTTCAGAATGAAGTCAGCTGCAAGAAAAAGGCACAGGGTAAATGAACATAGTTTTTTTCTGAGTTATTGTCCTATATTAATGAAAGTACATATTTGCACCATTATTTTAAAAACAGAAGACCTGCATATGTCGCTTCCAGTTGGAATACAAGTTTGGAACAAAGGAAAAACAAATTCCATCTCTCTAATGAGACACTGATGATAATAATTTTTAATAAGTCATTGCATTCTGGAGCTAATGGGAGTTGTACCTATAGGAATGCATTTCATGTAGTTCCACAGTAACATAAGGAAGGTAAAGCTTAAACTCTTTTTAAGAAGACTGATTTTTTAATTAAAACCCTTCAGATTGTACCTCTTGTGAAATTATTTATTTCTAATGAATCTGCATTAGGCATTACTTCAGAGCATGACTTGATCCCTAGACACTGCAATGGCTGTCTTGAGCCTTGTCTTGACTCTGGGATTACTTTTAAATTACTAAACTATGTTAAATGAAATTTAAAGTATGGAGCTACAGTTAAGAAACATTTTTTTTCCATTTGCACAGTGCTCATTAGTCAATAGTAAATTTTATTGCCTTTTAGCGGTTGGTTGGTTGATTGGTTGGTTGGTTTTGGCTTGCTTTTGTTTTTGGGTTTTTTGGGTTTTTTTCCCTCCAGACTACAGCAACTCATATATGATAAAAGTCTCTCTCAAGTTGAGAACTGTAAGGGGTTTGTTAACAAAAGCTGCTTTTGATTAATGTACTTGCTTTTGTTAATTTCTGTAACAGAAAGCTATGAGCTACATTTCAAACACTATAAAAGTGGTGGGATAGCTGTGATAGTTTAGGAACATAAGCAAACATGAAATTGTTCATGAAAATCAGGGGTTGTAGATTTTTAACTCCAATGATAGTGGTGATGACTTTATCATGTAGGTGGGAATTGGAAGGAGCTCCCAATTTGTCTGCCTCCTTTTCTTGTGTGTTCTGGGTGTATTCAATTTCAAATAACACATTCTGTGTGTTCTGTCTGTTAGTTAAGGTGTGTATTTGATGCATTCGCTTGATGAGCTGTTCAGAATGACAAGGGGTCTGACTCAAAATCCAATACTGTTAGTAAAAATCTTCTGTGCACTTAAAAGGAAATAGAGGTAGACCCTAAGGAGGCTAGCATGGCTTTCATGAGCAGCTCTTGTTCCAACAAACTGTTACACTTTTGCATTCACATTGTATAACACAACCTTTGTATGTTTGTGATACTAGCGAAGACAAAGCACATAGGGGTTACCACCAGGATGAAAACTCACGTTTTTCAAGTGCATGACTTTCATTTCTGCTACTAAACATTTTCCAGTAAAAGAAAATAAAAACCAATGATATTTTTATTTCTTTGTATTTGGGCTTTTTACCTATGGTGATCATTTGAAGTAGTAATCTGAGTAGCAATATTTAACTTATATTGTATTTTACTTTTCACAGATGAAGAGGATAAACCTTGAAGGTGTTCAGGAAAACATTTTCTGTAGAATTATGTAGCTATTCAGTGCTGTTGTTTTATTCAAAGTGAAAAATGAAAAAAAGACACAATTCTCATGTAATATTAATTCAATTTTTAATTAATGCAGTAAACATAACTGCTGCCTATCTCTAGAAGTTCTATTACTAGCACCTGTCCTCCTTCACTGGATTACAGATGTATAGGAAAGGTGATTTCTGTCTTCACTTCAGCAACATTTACAGTATTTTTTTCCCAACAAGCATTTATGCCTTTCAGGTATTTGCTTTGTCCCCTCTTGTCCCTGAGAATGGAAATGTGACAAAGCAACTAAATAACTTCCTTTCACAATTTTTCTCTATATCTTTTCTCATGACATTTATAATAACCATATTTTTCTCATTTTCATCAGCAGTTCTGTAGATAATTTATGTATCTTAGTTAACTATTACTTTGTGGTCCCTTTACTTGCACCACCCTTATGTGTTTAATTTCCTTGTACTGAAATATGACTACTCTTTTTGATACATGTATTTATTTTAATGTATTTTTGCTCATTAGTTAGAGTGATGGTGAAGATTTTGCATGGTAGAAAACCCAACTAATAGCACTAAACAGGAAAAGAGATACCATGTAGGACTTCATACCTTTCATAATTTGAGTATCTGACCTGAGAATTTAGCTAATCCCTTTGGGGATGACTCAGTGTTTTTTTCCAGGGACAAAGTTAGAAAGTTTGGGCACACTGATACTTAGTTACATTTGGTATTAATTAATATGTAAATCCTAAATTTGGGTATAAAAATAGTGACTCTATAGAAAAATTACATGTTTATAAGTGAGCTGTGGCAAACTTAATAAAGTTTTAATTCCCCTCACCATCCTGATTTTCACATGTCCAAATGCCATTCCTTTAAGGTGTTCTTTCTTTAAAAAATTTCTTTCTACAACATTATTCTACTATCATAATATCATGATATCATACTATATCATACATATCATACTATCTAATTACATATTGGTTATATATATTAGTTCAATATACATCAGAAAATCAATTTAATCAATTAAAAATGCATCTTTATTAGTTTTTTTTAGTTTTGAAGCATCCAGCTCACTTATTTTTTTTCTGCTTTGCATAAAGGTTGCAGAGAAGGCTGAGCCAACACACCAAATGTGGCTGAAATATGATGGTCACACAGCTCAGGGGACCAAGCTGGGCAGCAGAGGCAGGAAGAACATCTGTCCTCATCACCGCTGATTTCACTGCTCTGCCCTGTGTCCCCTGCTACCACTGCCAGCACCTGCTTAATTCTTTGATGTGTTTGCTCTGGAAGGAATTATTTCTATTGATGTAAAACAGTAGTTTATGAAAAAATGTGGTTTCTTGTAACAAGAGGCAAAAGCAAAACTCTCACTTGGAAAATGCCTGATTCAGAAGTTGTAGCAATTAATCTTATTTTTCTAAAGAAATTTTTCTTCTTTATATTAAGTTTTAAAGATATTTTAGTGGAGTTTAACTGATGATATAATTTGTTTGAAACATTTTCTTGTTCCTCTTTGCAATAATTCTACCTTGAGGAAAAAACTCACTCAAAAACTCACATGAGGCAGTCACTAAAAAAGCAGCCTGGAAGACTATGAGCTGAGGGAAGGAAAATTTCAGCTCCCAAATTATTCTGTGTTCCATTGGTGTATACTCACAATTTTTTTAACTGAAGCAAGATAATTAATTTTGACCATAAAGGTTCACCACTTTCATCATGTCATCACATTTAAAACATTAAATATAACATCATATATAGCAAAAGAACAACCATTTAAAAAAAAAAAAAAGAAAAACCAATTAAAAACCATTTTTAATTTTAAAACCATAAAAAAAAACATTATTTATTATATTTTACTGCAGGTCATAAATTTATGTTTTTCTTGACTGGATTTTTTACAGTGCTTTTGAATTTTGGCATGAGAGGTACTTTGGAGGATGGCAGGTTTTCCTTCTGCTATGTACTGGCATCATAGTACACCTTCACAGACATGGTTGGGATTGTGGGATGGGAGACAACATCCCTTGAAGTTAAATGATGAAATCAATGTCATAACAAATGAGGTTATGAAAATTTATTACTCTGCATGCTCAATAAAGATTTTCTAAATGTACACGCAATATGATTTTTTTAACATAGTGAAATCGTTCTATTTATTAGCAGCTTGAAAATGTTCCCTCCTAGATGTAAGTTCTAAACTGGAAAATATTATTTTCAACTCCATAGGTAGAGATAGAAATCGGTACATTTGGTTTAGAAAAGAAAAGCAAAAAATCACGTAAAAAGAAAATAAATTTAAAAAATAGAAAAAGAGAGAAAATGTACTGTATTGTTCACAACTCCAGGCTATTTTAAAGTATTGAAATATTACACACTTCATAGTGGATTTTAAAGCAGGAAGTCAGCCCAATCTTAATTGAAGGAGCTTTCATTAGTCATTTAATCTCTATCTGTGGCAGTTGAGAGGTGCATTTATAACTTTTCTCAAACAGGTCTAAACCAGAAGGTACTTTTTGCTGTTACAACTAGACAAGAAGAAGTTCACTGGCCATGAATGGCATCACCTTTGGGGTGAAATGTGATAATGTAAGCAAGTGAAGTAATGCTCCTTAGAATTCTTTAATACGTGAATAGAGATGATTGTAGCTTGCATCACAAACTGCAGGGAGAATTTTGCTAGAAGTGATTTTACTATTCAGGATACAATTTTGTGAAATCATGAACAGAAGGTGTCACTCTCTTCTTAATGAGAAGTTTTACTTCAAGTGCAAATCAAGCTAGGATGTCAAAGAAAATATAAACCTTTGCAGTAGATATATTCCTGACAACCCTCAATTCAAAAGCCAGCCAGCTCAACTTAATGTAGTTTCTCATTAAATCTGTAAAGAAAGTAAAATTCACACTAATTTGTAAAAAAAAAAGTAAATTTTTGCTTGGAATGACAGGCAATTCACTTGATAATTCTTTATTATATTAGAGAGGTCTAGATATGTGCTCTTTGTACATGACTATTCCAGTTAAGTAAAGTTTGTAATTGTTTAATCTTGATTATTTTTTCTGGTTGCTAATAAGGTTTTTACTAATAAATACCTCAGAAATTAAGGTTTTGATCTCTCACATCCCTAGTATCACTCATGTCTGAGCATTAATGATGCTTCTGAAACATAAAAGTGACCCAAAAGTCCCCCAAAAATTCTGTCATTCAGAATCCTTATTGTGTCCATTTATTTTCTCTCTGGACTACTACCACTTAACTTTGTTGCCTGCATTTCTGTTTTAGTCCTCAGTTGTTCCATGACTACTTACTGTTAACCTTGCAACTTTTAAAATTCTTTTAGAAAGCCCTTCCTAAATTTTGGGAAACAAACTACCCAGCTTACTTACCTCAAGTAAGTGTAAATAATTAAACTAAAGTGTTGGTTTATTTAATCTTCCTGTATTTTTTAGAGTAGTAATGTCCATATTCTGAAAAGGGAAATGAACTTTAATTTTTAATGACAATAACGTTTTATTTAAGAAAATATGATCTCTGAAATATAAGTTGAAAGTACAATCATCTTCTTCTGTTAATCACTTATTTAGGGAAAACTCAAAAGTGAGGGTGAAGTAACATCATCTGCAGCATTTCACCTCTACATAACAGTTTGAAATTTCCACTAGAATAATTGTTTACTGGTTTTCTTGAAGGTCAGTCCCGTTTCTTCCTATCTTCCCACAATGGGAACTAGTGTACACAACCATAGGATAACAATGGTCTCTATTCTCCAGCAGTTACCAGGGAAACTGAACTAATTAAGAATCATGCACATTGGAAACACTTTCAGTTAGGGACTGGGAAAAGCAGAAATTGTTCCTGAATAAGAAAAATAGTCATTTTTATCCTTATACAAATTTGGGATTTCCTCACTAAAACTAGTAAGTCAGTTTTCACTCTGGAAGTTTAGGTATCTTCCTGATTACTCAGTTTAGCTACTGGTTTGATACTTGTGCTAAAAATTTTGAAAAATTTAATGAACTTCATGTAAATATGACAGAACAATGTCTTTGAGTGATCCTGGTCACGTTAACCAGAATGCCCAAAACTCCATCAACTTCTGTGCTGTAAGTTTGTGCCCTAAAACTACACAAATGCACAATTGCACTTGTTGATTATGATTATGGATTTTTATTTAAATCAACACAAGAGTTGTGTGCTTTTCTTCTTCAAGTGGAATATTCTATATCATCACGTAATTTGAGTGTCAGCTGTTCTAACAATAACAAGTTAGGGAGTTTGAAGTTGATATAATTTTAATATAAATTCTAGTACATTTTGCAATGTGCACTTCATTCTGTAAGCTAAGAAAATGGTTTTCAAAATTTTTTAGAGCAAGCTGCTATCTTCTAAACACATAGTCCTTTGAAATAACTCACCTGGTTGTTCAAAGGAAGCTAGCTGGTTGAATTTTTCTGTGTTTCAGCAAAGTTTTCTATGCTGTCTCTCATGGTATCCTCCTGGACAAAATGTCCAGCTCGCAGCTGGGTGATTGACAAATACATCATGTCATGAGTGAGCAACTGGCTCGTGGGTGGGACACAAAGGGTTACAGTGACTGGGGTGACATCAAGCTGGTGGCCTGTCACTGGTGGTTTCCACAGGGCTCCATCCTCAGCCCTATGCTCCTCAACATTTCTTTCCAAACTCAGACACAGGACTGGAAGGGATATGGAGCAAGTTTGCCAATAAAACAAAGATAGGAAGAGCTTCTGACTTTCTGAAAGGAAGAAAGAACATGTGAAAATCCTCAGGAAACGAGTGGGCTGGGCATCCACAAACCATGTGAAGTTTAACAAGAACAAGTAAAAAATTCTTGCACCTGGTGGCTCTGGTTGTGTGTATAGACTGGGGAAGAAGAGGCTGAAGAACAGCACTGTGGGAAGGCGCCTGGGACTCCTGGTCCATGGCAAGTTGAGCAGGAGCCAGCAGTGCCCTGGCAGCCAGGAGGGCCAGCCCTGTCCTGGGGGCATCAGGGACAGCATCACCAGCCAGGCAAGGGAGGGGATTGTCCTGCTCTGCTCTGAGCTGGGGCAGCCTCACCTCGGGTGCTGGGGGCAGTTCAGGGTGCCACAATATAAAAAAAGTCAAGAACCTGTCAGAGTGTCCAAAGGAGGGGCATGGGGATGATGAAGGGTCTGGAGGGGGAGGCTGTGTGAGGAGTGGCTGAGATCATTTGGTCTGTCCAGCCTGGAGGAGAGGAGACTGAGGGGAGACCTCACTGCAGGTACAGCTTCCCTGTGAGGGGAAGCAAAAGGGCAGGCACTGATCTCTGCTCCAGGGTGACAGTGACAGGACCCGATGGAGCAGCATGAAGCTGTGTTGGGGAGGTTTAGGTTGGAGAATAGAAAGAGGTAGTACACTTCTGCACCCACAGAAAGGGTGAGTACTGGAACAGACTCCCCAGGGAAGTGGTCACAGCAGCAGTTACGGACAATGCTCTGTGGCACACGGTGTGAATCTTGAGGTGTCCAGTGCAGAGCCAGGAGCTGGACTCAATGATCCTGGTGGATCCCTTCCAGCTAAGAATATTCTGTGATTCTGTGAAATTATGTTGAGAAATTGATTACCTTTTAGTTTCTATTTACATGCATCAAAATCTGTCAGTGCAAATAAGCAAATAATATTGTTTCTGAAGATTTATAGCTGAACCTACGTTTCCATGAATATACTTACCAAGAATAAAATCATTCTATTTATCAGCTTCATGAAAATTTAGAGGCAGTTAGTAAGTTGTTTTTTTTATTGTGCTTAATAATGCAGACAGTAAAAAGAGCTTCACCTTGAAAATTGAAAGGAGAAACCATCTTGAGACCCTTGTATGCTGATATCTTGAAGACAATAATCTCAGCTCTAATGAACAGAGCATTAGCTTTCTAATCAGACAAGATTAGGTGGAGTTCTATGTTGAAGTTCCTTAATGATGGTTGAAAAATTTGCCTTGAATGGAAATTGCTGAAGAAATATGAAGAGGTGTGTAATCACACAGAACATTTTTGAGAACATTTTGAGAATTTTCTTCTCAAATCAATGGCAATATAATTGTTTATACTGATAGAAAGAGAACTGAGTCAGTATTTTCTGAAGAGCAAAATTTCTTCATAGAATTTGGTTTTTTTTAAATGTAGCTGTCACATGTGACTACAAAGAAACAAAATTTACAGGAAGTAAATGATGGAGCAGTAAAAAGTTATCTTTGATCTCGGGCCAAAAACATGAGAAACAAACTAAAAATGTTTTAGCCAAATAATTTTCTAATATTCTGCATTAAAAAAGTAGGAAAACTCTCTTTCCAAGTTTGAAGGTGGAGCCTACTTTATATTCAGTGTATATCTTGTAATTTTTAGGCAGAGGAATACCAGTGCAGACTGCAATAATACTAAACCAAAGTAGAGCAAGACAAACCTGGTGTCAGTCTTAACTATGAATAGAATACTGTAACATCTCAGTATCAATTATTCTTCTGGAAAATAATTTATATTATGAAGTATTGTGATTTTTTAGAAGGAATACAATCTTGTTTGGGGGATTGGTTGAGATGCTTTGTGTTTATACTTTTTGCCATAGAGCAGAAATACCAGTTAATTTAATGTGATAAGTTTATATATAAAGTTTAATAAATTAATAGGCACACTGTATGAGAAACTAAAACATGCACTTTATGATTCGTTGCTGAAAAATTATCTATTTATCTTACTAGCTTTTTCAGTTAATAAGTAGGTTGGTTCACAATGTACC